AATATGATTGTACATCCAAATCTTATAAATTTCTCGATTGTATCAGCTTGCAATCTCCCATGCAAAGTACTTGTCTCAATCTGCCATGCGTACATGCATTAAAATTCTCTCTCTCTCTTTGTCTCTCTCTCTCTCTCATTTATGTGTGTATATAAAATTGTGTGTGAAAAAGCTTTACCCTCATGCCTATGTATGTAGGTAATAATGACCTAGGAAGTGTAAGTGAAGTTGGAAACCGTGTTTTGAGATAGTTTGATTTTAAGTATATTTTGAATGGAAAGGTTATCAATGCAAGTCAATCAACCAATCATGAAATGGAAAATTGGATTTATCTCTATCCAAAAAAAAAAAAAAAAACACACGGAGGTGATTGGATTGATCTAAAATTCGATAAGTCAAAACCTTTAAATATAATTATATTAGAGATAAAGCTTAAATAAATGATAATAATTTAATTGGCTGGAAACTAAATTGGGTGATACAATAATAAACAGAAAACGATCATTATCTTAATTCCATTGAATAACCGTATGTACAGTTTTGATGCTACAGAAACTGAAAAATCATTTTCCACAAATAATTAGGATAACTACTAGTTTAATATAATGAAATTATGATTAGTATTAAATCACATCGTAATCAATTAACATTAAACCCATTAAGGTCAACACGTGGCTGCCAAAAATTATATGTTAATATCCCTTATTGTCGTGTACGCATATAAAATTCTTGTGCAAAAATAATAATGAAGGCACGTGTCATAAGAAATTTGGTTAGGCATCGGTTTCAAATGATAAAGTGACTACCATTAAACTTATTAAAGTAAAATAGTATTTCATTATTTTTACACGTGGCTGCCTCCAATGCACACGTTCTTGTAATTAAAATATCTTGGGCCTAACATATCCAAATTAACTTTTTCTCGCGTCTAAAATGTATAATTAATTACGAGCTATCCAACGAGTATAATATTGATGTATTAATTCTAGCTCTATTGAAAACTAAGTATTTAACCCAAATAAAATTGAATTAACACACACACACACACACACACACACACACACACACACACACACACACACACACATATATATATCACTTTAGTCCACCAATTTCAAAATTTAAATATATAGCATATAAACCAAATAAAATTTTATTCTATAAAATTTTCGGGGCGCTACACTAACTGTGGGAGAGAGAAGGATATTAATAGTGATGAAAATGAAGGAAAAATGAATAGTGAAGTGCAATAATAGAAAGGTAAAGTTGTGATGCCAAGATTGCCCTTGTTTATTTGGGAAAAATTATTTATTTTTTCATTTTTGGGGTTCAACTAACGATTTTGATAGTCGAATAGACGGAAACCGTCAATTTAAACTGGACCTAAGATTTTTTTAAAGGTTTGGTACCTGAGGTGACACAAATGAAATGTTTGAGCAAAATCTACAACTAAATGAAATGTTTGGTACCTTGATTGCAATTTTCCCTATAATCTAAAATTTAGTGGTAAGTACATTATGCATTTCTAAGATATTATAAAGGATTTTTTTTATTAAATGTCACACAACTCACATGTTGGCTTCATGTTGATCATCCAACTTCAATTTAGTTCATTCTGATTACCACAATTTGCATTTCTCCCACTAGGCTAATCATGATGAATAATGCTATTTATCATTATGATAAAGGAATATCGATGATGTGACGGTTTATATAGAATAATGGAATTTAACAATTCAATTTTTATAAGAAATAGTAGGAGGATATAGAGAAATGTGAGGGATAATATGTTATTACATCACCGATATTCCATCATCATCATAATAAATAGCATTACTCAATCAGAATGCATAATTGAACTCTTTTATGATGTAAGGGTATCATCAGGGCGAATTTAGGATTTGACTAATTTTGTTTTTTAAGTCGAGCTTAAAGAAAACTAAAATATTATAAAAAACCTTTTTTTCCCCCAAATGGGCTAGGAGGAGACTGGGCGTGAACCCCAAATCTGACCCTGAGTATTAGTTTACTTTCTACAAATATCTTAGGGTGCGTTTAATTGCAAAGGTAAAAAATGAGTGGAAAGAAAATAAATTCCAGGGAAAGTAATTGTCTAGAAATTATTTCACGGGGAATTGTTAATTAAGTATTTTTTATTGGTATAATTTTCCACCCGAAAATTTTTTAAATTTTGTGTTCGTTTAGCTTTGTTTTACATAAAAATTGTCCATTAAAATGATAATTTTTCCACAATTGGTTATAAAATTTGTTTCCATTGCTAAAAAGTTAACCTAAAAAATCATTTTTTTAATCAAAGTTTTATATTCGTTTGACTTTGTTTTACATGTAAATTGTCCAATTAAACACTTATTTTGCATGAAAATGGAATTTAAATTCCAAGTTCCATGGAAAACAAGTGTAATCAAACACTACCTTAGTACTTTAACGATCAATCACAGAAAAAAGCTCACAATGTTCTCTTTTTATAAATACAAGTAGCACCGAAACTCGAACTATTGCATTTATTTGAATAGAAAATTGTTTGTATGCGTTCTTCTAGTGAATATATAATCTCACTAATACACCATGATCGAAGATTTAAAGGTTTAAAATGGTTAATGATAATTTATATCCTTCTTTTACACTGTTAAACCTTACACCAATTAAATCATTGGCTTTGCTTAGAGGACATTCCCAAATTTGAGCAATAAATAATGCCAAATCAGCATCAACACATCATGACTAATAACTCCTACTTAGGTCTAAAAATAGTATTGATTTGGACAATTTATAGAGACAATAAATATACAAGATTTCATTCCAAAAGATCCTTCATTGAGTGATACAACAAGTTGGCGAAGTAAATTTCAAAATCAACAAGTCAAGAGCTCGAAAGTTGTCCTCGATACAAAGATTCAACAAATAGTTTTTGCTGAACATCATGATAGAATGTTAACCAAGAAATACAAAATATTTTGTACTCCTATCCTTGTTTCTAGCAAAATTTGCCTCCCACAAATGTAGTTAAGCAAAGACCTCGATTCCATTTACTAACAAAACATGGTGGATCGTGTGTTTAAAGTAACAGAAGTAGGTCTTGGTCAGAGTATATATGCATGAGCTTAACTTGGGGCCGGTGAGAAAATGATGGTCGTGCTTGTGCTAAGAAAGAAGTAGGCCGTTAAGAAGGGGGAGAACCTCAACAGCAAGAAAATAATGCAAATCACGCAAGTGTTCAACCAAGAACCGAGTTGAGAAGGCTTGTGAGAAGCGAACAATGAAATCAACAATTTTCCTGTAGAAATAAGGTGAAAATTCTCTTCCTCAGTGATAAAGCATTAGCAACAACTATGATAGTTGTAATTATCAGGGTAAATTCTTGTCTACCGTGGTTTTCTTCGCGACTTATCATTGAAAGTTAAAAACTCTTTTGAACTTTCTTGGATCGTACCTGGAGAATGTCCGAGCAAAAATGACAATGCAATTGGTTGCAACATTTTTTCGTGCTCACTCTTATCAGTCCCGGATGATAGGTTGTGGCGCCCACTTGAGATGCAAATTCAACCTTCCTGATGGTGTCCCGTCTATGAAAAAGGTATCTGTAACTTCTTCCTCTAATATAACCCTTGTGAGTGTCATTATGCATCTTCCCATTTTGTCCTGAACATAGGTAGAATATTATGCTGAGCTTAAACGTAAGCCTGACCTCTTTTTAAGTTACTTATTGTACCAATGAGCATAATTTTTTCCCCCTAGAGGTTTCTTCTCCTCCAAATATGGAACAAAACAAATTTAACTATCTATTCTTGCCTGTTTTCCAAGAGAAATTCTAATTCTTTTGCAATAGCGTTTGTCTTTCTAAAATTTATTGTTAAAATTGCAAATATTTCTGAAAAAAATTGTACTTCAACGCACAAAAAAATTTAACATTCTGAGAATTTACCTTCCCAAACGTGTCATGATCCCAAACTTCTAACATCAGCAACTCATGTAACCCATCCTCAACAACAAAGTCAAATGTTTGATTCCAAACTGGATTCAAGGTGTCATTTAAAACCTATAATGAGAGGGAAAAAGTTGTTACACTACATTACCAAAATTGCAAGGAGGAAGGAAACAACGGGTTAGGTATTGAATTAACCATAAAAATGAGTTAACTATTTCGTATGCTTTGAATCACTTCATCTAAAAGCATAAACTAATAGAGAGACTACAAATTTATTTTCTTAGTCGTCCTCACGTGCCTCATCATATTCATCTTTTATCAAAGTTCTGATACGTGGACAAATTTCATAAACGAGTGACAACAAGACTCAAATCACTTCATCTCGAACGCTTAAGCTATTAGAGGGGGGACGGAGTTATATACTTTGTTGTCTTCAACACTTTATTTGGCCTGGGGATTGGGGGGTGGGGGGGGGGGGGGGTGGGTGTCTAAATTAATTTAAAGGGGGGGGGGGGGGGGGGTGTGAAGCATTCGTGAGAACAGCTATTTCTTCCAAAGGTCAGTTGGAATCAGCAAATCTTACCCGAGTCTTGCTCTTCTGATCAGACTTCTTCATCATTAGTACAACGAAAGGATCAGATTTTCCCATGAGATCAGCACTTGGCAAATCTTCTGCAGATATTACTGTCACTGAAAGAACACCTCTAATAACAAAATCCTTTTTCGTCGGAGAGGCTGATTTCACGAGATGGGCGGAATCTATTCCCCTAGTTCCTTGTAAAAGAGCCTTTTCCATGCTAGTTAATCCAAAGTCAGGGTTAAATGGATTCATAAATGCACTCTCAGTGCCAAAAGGACAGTACAAGAGCTCCAAGTGCACCTATAATTAAAGAAATAATGTAAACAAAAACTAGCCATGATAAGTTTTAAGGCATCCCACTGAAAATGATAAACTCATGAGGACACATTCAATGAAATTTTTAACACGCATTTATTGCCCGAAGCTTATTTAAAAGATCAACATTGTTTTACAAATGGATCCGATACATCTTTTCATATAAGTTTATAAAAAATCATATGAAAAATGGATATGTAACAGAGTAGAAATCACTTTGCAAAGTCAACTACAGAATTATGTTTCAGCTAAGAATTAGATTTCCTGTTGGCTTATTTGTTAAGGCTGACGGTACAGTGCTTGACAATATTAAGGAAGAAAAAGAAGCTAAAATCCTGTGTATTATAGTGTCCAATTCTATTCAATACTCCTTTTGGCTTATTTGGTAAGGCAGATGGTACAGCACTCGACAATATTAAGGAAGAAAAAAAGCTAAAATCCTATGGATTATAGTGTCCAATCCTGCTAAATACTCCATATCAAACATGTACTTTGTGTTCACTTTGGGGTTAATTATCCTTATATATGTGCTTATACAACTATATTCAGAGAAGATATTCCCAATCATGGTTCTAAGCATGAGACATTTTATCTAGTTGAGCCTGTACTTTAACATGGTTACAGAAACTAAATATACCATTAGCCCGGTTTATAAACATGAAAAATACAGATTTAGTCGGCATTCTCACCTGACCCCGGTTTTTATGGTCTCTTTGGATCTCCAGATTTTTCACGAGTTTCAACCATACATCTTTCACCTTACCAGGCACTAGATCACTGAGTGGCATTTGGGCACAGCCAATGAGTTCCGCAGCTTGAATTCCTTCATCGTCAGACACTCTTATCGTCAAGCGTTGAGTTGATACATCTTCAACTAGGAATTCAAAGTGCTCATTCCAAATTGGATTTATTTGGTTGTTCTAAATAAATAGTGGGGATTTATATTAACCAGAGAGAAGTAAACAACAAACTAACGAAGGCAGAGAATAAAAGAATCTTACAATTGTTTTGCTTGTTTTTGTCCTGGCACGTAGTGGCCGAATAAATAAATTCACAAATGGATCAGATTTTCCTATAATGTCTTTATTTGTTAATTCCTTAGCTTGTATGAGTTTCACCTCCAAACTTCCAACCGGCTTTAACTCAAGGGAACTGTAAAAAGAAATATATACCAGGACGTCACATTAGAAACATAGGATGCTGATCTTAAAAGGTGTTCTGATGATAAAATAAGTTTTCAAGTAAATCATTTTTTATTCGTGGAAGTTCGAATAAGTTACTTGTTCTCGCACTATCATAAGAG